TTAGTCTTAGTCTTAGTCTTAGTATTAGTCTTAGTATTAGTATCAGTCTTAGTATTGGTCTTAGTATTAGTCTTAGTCTTAGTATTAGTCTTAGTCTTAGTCTTAGTATTAGTCTTAGTCTTAGTATTAGTCTTAGTCTTAGTATTAGTCTTAGTCTTAGTCTTAGTCTTAGTCTTAGTATTAGTCTTAGTATTAGTATCAGTCTTAGTATTGGTCTTAGTATTAGTCTTAGTCTTAGTATTGGTCTTAGTATTAGTCTTAGTCTTAGTATTAGTCTTAGTATTAGTCTTAGACTTACTCGAGGTTTCAACTTCATTGCAGTCGGGTCACCCCATTCTTGCTCCGTTCCTGCGCCAGTGAAAATCAAATAAAACCTTCATTGCTGTCCCATAAAAAAACTGTCGAACAAACAAACTCCTTGCTCACCTTCAAATCCACACTTTATCTCTCTAATTAAAAAAAAAAAACACTGTGTCTCTCCACGGTGAAGGTTTCCTGTAACGAGTTTGTACACCAACTGCTATTTATTAGAATGTAATATAGTGACCTTTTTTATGAAATGCCAAACGCGGAAATAGAATCCAGGTGCACGGAGGCTTGTGAAACGAGATCACTAAACTCTAAGCCACATAGTTATCTCTTTCTTATAGACCTTGTCAAATGACGTTGACAGTCATGTCTATCCACAACCTCCTGACTAGTGCACTTTCAGTCAATTTTACACAGATGATCTTCCATGCCATGATGTCAAACTGTCCAGCATCTTCTCTCTCTCTCTCTCTCTCTCTCTCTCTCTCTCTCTCTCTCTCTCTCTCTCTCTCTCTCTCTCTCTCTCTCTCAAATTATTTAGATTACGACACATTTCGTTTCATTAATTTTATTTTTGTCTAAGCAAAAACAAAACAGAAACATAATTTTAAGGCCTAATCTTTGCGGTGCTCTTGGAAATTTCATACATCTTTTTTTCCCGACTAGTGGCGCTCTGGCTTTTATCGAAGACCCTGTGAGAAAAGGAAACAAAAAATTAAACAGTTACTTTCCCATTCTTTGCAGGATATCACCGCTTTCATAGTAAATGTGTAAAAAATCTGGTTTTCTAGACATAAGTTCTGCCCTGCTTTCTAGGTTATAGTTTTATACTCACTACTGGATTTAGGATAAAAGCTTCATAGACTACATCTAAAGTTTTCATAATCTGAACAGGCATTAAAAGATTAATTTTTTTGTCATACTAATGCAATGTTATTTTACTATATTTTAAAAGCACTTCTCTTTTAATTTATGTTGATTTTATTAACATTATTTTGCGCATATTATCTCAGTCTTGTATATGTTCATTACCTGACGTCCCAATCTAATCCAGTTCTCGTCCATTTTAGGATACAATTTTTCGTTATTTGAAGCCCTACTCTGGCTCTTTGCAGGGGCCGCAATATAGCCAGGCCATATATCATAATCGGTCATGCATCGACCATATATTCACACTCAGAACCATCGTAGAAGAGTCAGTAGAGTTTCAATCCCAACTCATCATCAACTTTGTTGATTTTCAGAAGGCCTTTGACAGCATACACCGCCCTACACTCTGGAAGCTACTCACAATCTATGGTTTCCAAGATAAATATGTCAATATTATAAAGGCCTTCTACACCGATTCCCGCTGCCTTGTTAGAACGGAATCTGGTAACTCTGATTGGTTCCCAGTAGAAACAGGCGTGAAACAAGGATGTGTCTTGTCACCGATGCTTTTCGGAATAGCACTCGATTGGGTCATGCGCAAATGCACACAGGACACACATCTAGGCATCAAAATGGGTCGACAAAGTTCTCGAAGATCTTGACTTTGCTGACGACCTAGCACTCCTGAGCACAACACATCTAGAAGCTCAGGAAAAATGGACCGCCTCCAGAATATTTCAAGCCAAATCGGCCTTCAGGTCAACGCAGCCAAAACGAAAATCATCGATCTTACCAACGAGTCGAAAGACATCAAACTAAAGGATATTGTTCTTGAAAAAATCACCAGCTTCACATACTTAGGGAGCAAGATAACCTCTGCGGGAGATACAACATCAGAAATAACGACTCGAATCGCGTTAGCATCAAGTGCCTTTAACAAAATGTCAAACATTTGGAAGTCAAGATCACTCAGCAACAACACGAAACTTAAGGTCTTCAATTCCTGTGTGATCCCAGTGCTAACTTATGGTTGTGAGAGTTGGAAATCATCAGTATCAATCGATAAGAAACTAGTCGTTTTCGAGAATAGATGCCTCCGAAAGCTATTGAATGTTCACTGGTCGGACTTTAGGTCCAATACGTCTATAAGACAGGAAACAAAACAAAAATATGTGTCTGATTTTATTAGAAAGCGTCGCTGGAATTACATCGGTCACGTACTCAGAATGGACATACAGAGACTTCCCCACCAAGCCTTCATATGGTCACCAGAGGGTAAAAGAAAACAGGGAAGACCAAAAGAAACTCTCTGTAGAACCATCACAAGGGAGAGCTCAACCATAGGTCTCAGTCGCACTCAAGACCTACATCAAGTGGCAAAGAACCGACAGACGTGGAAAGCTATGACCTCTGCCCTATGCGCCATCTTTGGCACAAGAGGAATAACTAACTAACTAACTAATATATGGCCTAAAAGCTAAACGCGGTTTCTAGGACCTCTCCAGGGTAATCCTCACCCACACGGTGGCACTTTGTGTCATCTGGTGTTTATCGCTTGTGTGATGTCCTGGTGGGGTAGAAAGTCAGTCAGTCGTCCCAATATAGAACGCAATTTTTGGTAAATTTAAAGCCCCCACCCTAGCTCTTACCCGGGGTCCTAATACAACCTTACGGTTGAACGGGGTCTCTGGGACATCTCCACGGGTGATCCTCATCCGCATGGTGGCGCTTTGTGTCACTGGGTGTTTCTCGCTGAGTGTGATGTCCTGGTGGGGTACAACCTACTCACTTACAGTATTTTATTAATTATAACTTGTAGATTATCTAAGGACATACACATTTAAATGTTTTCCGAGATTAGATGTTGCCATTTTAAAACAGCAGGGGCCTCGGGGCCCTAATTAGATGAGGGTCTCATAAAGTCTAAATCTGGCTCTGGTTATACTGTCTTGTAGTGACGCATAGGCATCAAAGCCAGATTGCGGCTCAAGGTTTAGGGTTTAAACAACGAATCAACATCGTGGCACAAGGGTAGTAACCCATAAGTGCTCTGTTCCACTTCTTACTCAAGTCTGAATCTAAAGAACCACAGCACAGTGCACGAACTCCGTAGCACCAGCGAGGATCCTGAGAATACTTTGGGTAGAGTTTTAACTCCAAATTTTGCCCGTGCAGCGCCGTTTTTAACCTGCGCAGCAATACATACGGGTGTTCGATCTTACTTCCCATAGACCATGGAAAATTACTAGAAGTCCACGTTAAAAAAAAAAAATCCTAGCCTTCATCGGGGCTTGAATCCGGGACCTCCAACACTCGAAGCGGATTCCATGCCTCGATATTATGAGGCTGTAATGAAGTTCTTCTTATCCAAGGCATAAAACCTAGGCAGCATTACAGACCGCGCGATTCAGGACCTTTAGGCTTTTCCAGAGGATAGTGTTATCCTATGTTATTGTTCGTTAGTTTCGTATTCTTTACAGGATATTGCAGAACCAACCAAGCATTTTTTCGCTATTGTGGTTTTCTAGGCAAATTTACGTCCAGTAGTTTGCCATTGCTTTCCAGGCTGTAGGCTTCTCGATACCACTGTCAAACGCCTAAGCCACATACGCCGACACTGTGTTATAGACCAGTTCAGAAAGCCTCCACTTCAATGGGGATTTCGATCATGGGACCAATGGCCAGGTAAGCTTGCGTGACAGCCATTTCACCACTTCTGCTTCCCGTGTTTCAAAACTATTAGGTAAAGTAAGGTTGAAAAGTAACCCCCCCCCCCCCCCCACCTCTTCCTTTTTCAAGCATATTGAGTACACAGTGTTATACCTATATTTCATAGACCAAAAGGCAGACGATGGATGACGTGGTCCACATCCTACCGGCCACCTTTACTTCCCCGGACTTTATCTGGTGCCTATTTAAGGAGATGTTACCTGGCACCGAAAGTCATTAAAAAGCGTCTGGTTCTTTTCGGACTTGAACCCACGACCTTTGGATCGGTAGGCGAGAGTGTCGAAGAACTGTGTGTTTGCCTTGACGAAGTTTCTGCGAAGTTTCCCCATAGACTACATTACTGCCATGCTTCAACAGTCAAGAATCCTTGACACACATATGGCGCATAAAGTGCTAGACTACATTCAGTTTTTTAAAGAACAGTCGGCAATGGACTACATTCAGTTTTTTAAAGAACGGTCGGCAATGGACTACATTCAGTTTTTTAAAGAACAGTCGGCAATAGACTACATTCAGTTTTTTTTAAAGAACAGTCGGCAATGGACTACATTCAGTTTTTTAAAGAACAGTCGGCAATGGAAGCATTGTGTCGTCAATATCACATTTATCGCTTTTATTGTCCAGGTCAGATTTATAATAATAATTAAAAAAAAATCTAACGTGATGAGGATTTGAACTGGAGACCTTCGGGCCGACTGACAAACGTCTAAGAATATTAAACATTAATATATTATTTGAAACTCCAAGGTAATCATGAATATCACCTGAGCAATAATTCAAATATTGATTCTCTTCTTCTTCTCTTTCCTTAGTTACCTCATCGAAGTGGCGAGGAGATGGTGAAAAGGGGGAATGTAGAAAATCTCTAAGTATTCTTCATGAATGTTGCGTAAGTTGATCTTCACTTCTTTAAGGTTGTTCCTAATGTCACCGCTCCATCTTTGGCGTGGCCAACCCACTGATCTGAGTTCATTATATTTCTCTTCCGTAGCGCCTGCGTATTTCTTGTCTGTGGCAGTTGGTAACACGGCAAATATGAATTCGGAGTGACAATGAAGATGAGGACAATGACTTACATAAGGTCTCTTGTTTTAGGCAGCAGTTTCACACTTGGCGGTTTGGTCGTTGCAGACTAACCCGTCCTCACATTTGACCGTTGGTGGGGGACCGCCACTCAAGCGAAGTGTGGGACAGCTTTCTCCAACCTCTGCAGAAACATAACAGCTAATTAAAAGTCTGCTATATGTAGAACATACTTGTAATGACTGGCCTTACAGAAGCAAAACACAGAGGATTTTAGTAAGCACATAATTGAATAACATGGAAGCAAGAAAGTGTTTGCTTAAGCAATATTCTTTCAAAATACTTCCAAAGAAAGCTGCATTATACCTGTGTTTAAAATTATTTTAAATAATTCAGTGTAAACTGAAGTCAGTGCAGATGATTTGTTTTTTTTCATTTGGTCAACTAATTACCCATGAATATATTGCACGAAAACCTGGACCTGTCACTGGCTACGATAACAAATGGCTAACAATAAAATGCTAACCAACAGAGTAACCACGAAACAAACATAAACTAATAGAGCAGTAAAACAAATTATCAAAATAATGAAACATCTAACGGAAAATCGCCCCCTCCCCCCCCCACCGAGATAAAAACAACTCAGTAAAAAAAAAAAAAAAAAAATAGACGACTTGCAAAACAACTATAAACAGAGGCAAAAATGTATTAACCAACAGAATGACCAAATAACCAAGAACACAGTCAACAAATCTGTCAACTAGCAAAGTAACAAAACAAACTAACAAAACAGAACAATCACTACAAAACAGTCAATCAACAACATACCCAACCAACCAAGTCGCTCTATAAGAAAACCCACCCTATACTTACTAAGTAGATGCACGCAAGCACTGCAGCATCCACAGAACCCGCCATTGGGCACAACCGTGTACTCACAGTTCTCTTCTGTATACTCCATACATCTCACGTTATCACACATGTTGGGCAAGCAGACGATGCCGAACGCCATGTTTGCAACGGCGAAGAGAGCCAGTAGTGAGAGAAGTTGTCTGTTCATTGTTATTATCTACAAATGCAGGAATAAAAAAAAAAAAAAAATCGAAATAACAGAAATGAAATGTCTAAGGCGAATCCTAAATGACCCCCCCCCCCCCCCCCCCCCCAAAAAAAAAAAAAAACGATATCGGGAAAGAAGTTGGGATTAGTCTTTCCTCTTGTGTCGAGTGCGGCACATAGGGCAGAGGTCATGACTCTCCATGCATGGCAGTTCGTTGCAATCCGTTGTAGGTCTTGGATGTTTGAGTGGCCCATGAGCGAGCCTTCCCTGATGATAGTTCTACGTTGGGTTTCCCTTGGTCTTCCACGAGATCTTTTCCCTTGTGGTGTCCAAATGAGGGCTTGGTAAGGAAGTCTTGATTTATCCATTCTAAGGGCGTGGCCGACATAGTTCCAGCGGCGTTTTCGTATAAAATTAGACACATACTCTTGCCTGGATTCTTGCCTTATTTGTGTATTTGTTCGGAAATCTGACCATTTGAAATTTAGTATTCTTCTAAGGCATTTATTTTCAAAACTGTCTAATTTTGTGTCTATAGTTTTCGTTGATTTCCAGCTCTCGCATCCATAGGTTAGTACTGGAATCACACAAGAATTGAAGATCTTGAGTTTTGTGTGTTTGCTAAGTGTCTTTGATTTCCAGATGTTAGACAGTTTATTGAAGGCACTAGAAGCCAGTGCTTTTCTAAATGGTATTTCTGGTGCGGTATCTCCTGTAGATGTCATCTTGCTCCCTAGATAAGTGAAACTGTTGACTTTTTCAAGGCTGTTGTTGTTCAGCGTGATATCAACTGAACTGTTGGTAAAGTCTAGAATTTTTGTTTTTGGGGTGTTAATTAAGTTGGGATGGGACCCGTAATAAACTACACCAAGAGACAACAGATCAAATGGTTTGGACATGTGTTAAGACTACCACCAGATAGTGCACGCCAGAAAACTCTGTTCCTTTCACATAACAAAAGCAGAACCTGAGGTCGGCCACGCAAGCGATGAATAGATAAAATAGCGGGAGCTTGAAATCCGAGCACCTGTAAGAACATATCACGACTTTCGCCGATACCTTTTGAAAAGCTCGAGTTGAAAGGCAATACAGGACTAGAGACAAAAAAGATGAAGACATTAGAATGAGAGTTTTAAAAACCAGAAAAACACATCTATCTTGCCGTTAACATTATTATCATCATTGCTTTCATTGTGGTCTATGAGATTATTATGTCCTCGTCGTTTGACGTCTCACCTCTGTCCAGATACAGTGCGATACTGTACTAAGATCGGACATGGTGTGCAAATCACAGGATATGTTGATGGCGAGTTTGACTACCCAAACCCTCTATCGTTAAGACACGTTTTCCACACTTGGAGCCTAACCATCATTGCAGCCAGTACATGCATTTACAGTGCTTAATGTGATCAGACACGAACAAGAATGGATGAATACACCAGTAGGTATGCATGGCATCTCTAAGGTTGTCATCACACTCGGAAGGTACTGTCGGGATCAGTTCACTGTGGCAAATTCCATCAGTAACATCAGTTTTATTTCCCAATTTAAAAATATTTTTTAAAGTGAAAGTTATTGATACAGTCGAGAATATCGACTTCGTTGGCTGATGGTTTTTTCTCTCCATACGAACGAGAGTAACGTAAAGAATGCGTGAACTGAGCCCGTGAACTGAGCAACGTAGCTGTGAAACAAGCCCACAATCTTCAGAGCGAGAGTCAAATGGATTGACGACTTCACCACAGAGCCCCCCCCCCCCCCCGCCCCCCCCCTCCTAACATTTCTCCCACTTTCCACCAAGGTTTGAAAACGTGATTGGACAACTGCTGTTTTCAACTAGTTTGAGATAAAAGAGATGGCTGGACCCATTCTGAGATGAAGCTGTCAAAGATTCATCAAATAGACACTGGAATAGGAAACAAATGGACTGAACAAGATAAGGCACCCAAGAGAAACTCTGGGACGAAGGTTTATGAGAGAGGTCAGTGGTTTCGAGCGGCGTCTGTGGCTTAGGCGTTGCTAGTCCGACTCGTAGTTCCAAAGTACCGCGATCAAAACACACTGCTGGCTGAGTGGTTTTTTATCATGGCATGGGGCGTCGCAGGTCGACCCAGCCTAAAATGGGTACCAGGATGGCTGTCCTGGGGAAGTAGAGACGGCTGGCGTAATGATGACCACATTACCCACCTAGTGCCGATTGGTCTGTAAAAAAATGGGATGCTCTTTCCATATGCCCGAAGCGCCTAGGGCGTGAAAAGGTATCTGTACTTTACTTTTACAGAGGTTTCGGCCAGAATACAATGCATGTTATCGAAAGCAGTGTACAAGCTAGAACGAAATAAAATAATCGACCGTAAGACCTGTGTAGCGTATATACAGCAAGATGATAATGCTCATCATATGCCATGTCTTGAACCAGTAATTTCGTCTTCATTTGCCGATAAAGGTTTAAGCTGGGTTGCGATATCTGAGCTTTTCTGTCTAACACTTTTGATTTCAGCAAACATCTTTACAACACGGTTTGTAAAGAACAATGTGTGCATTGTTTTGCCTCTCTCAAGTAGTGTTCGGAGCCAACAAAGATATAAAACACGAATATGATAAAGTACCTTTTGCAGAGAGATGGCCAAACGTTAAGCGAGGTCACACAGTAGTTCTGAGCTGCTCTAAAACGAATATATCGTTATGTAATGTTGGTTTTTATACTAGTTTTAACCAATCACGTTTCCAGCTGGTTTTAGTCGGACCGGGGGTCATTGATGAACTCACAACTAGGTCAGTGTTGATGATAGTGTTATCTTCTCTCTAGCAGGCGCGTGGACACCCAAGAAAACATTTGAGGGGGGCGCTAGGTCCCTTAGAAACTGTCTGGGGTCGAGGGGGCTTAAGAGGCACACGCTTTGAATATGTGCATAATAACAGTGATTGTTACTATCGTAATTATTACTATTATTATTATTGTTGTTGTTATGTGAGGAACGATCAATAATATATTTGAATAATATTACTAAACAAATGCTTAAACCGCGAGCTTCCATACAAGTTTGGAGTGGTGGGGAGAAATCTCTTATTATAACAAAAAATACACCATTACAAACATATGGGGGGGGGAGGGGGGGGGGCTGGGTCTCTAGATGCCGGAATCTGCAGGTTTAGACGCTTCTAGTCTTTTGTTCAAATCTATTCTCTGCAGGGACGTGGCAGGGCCGATAGCTTATCTGGCAATGCGTGAATCTTTTGTTATCTCGTAACAGTCTTCTTTTATAAAATTGAAAGTTGAAGTGGTGATTTGCTTCAGTGTCTTTCCTGGCTGGTCTTTTCTGAATTGCTGCTGCAGTTCTAGCAGCTTCATGGGGCACAGCTCCTCGATGAAGAGAGGGGCGTCAGGATGAGCCTTAACAGGCAGCGACTTCCCAGGTCCCCGACAGAGTGTACAACCAAGACAAGAAACAGAATATCTCGGAGATCCATTGAACCACCTTTCACAGCTTAACTCTTTGAGTCCCAAGAAACGCATCATGCGTTCATAGGTTCCTACCTAGAGGACCAATAAACGCAAGATGCGCCGATGTTAAATCTCTTTTGACTACCCCTTGGGCCTCAGATGCTAAACCCCCTGGGACTCAAAGAGTTAAGAATGGAGGTGAAGGCGGTCACTGCAGCTTTCCACTATTTAGACGAAGATTGCTGTGATTTCGGTTCTTGAATCAACTCAACCCAAATCAACCCAACTCAACTTCACAACGGAGAAGACACTATTGAAAGCCTTACTGACTGACTGGAAAAGACTTAAAATGGAATCAGGGCCGAAGGGTTGCGATATCCATAATACCGGGCCTGGGGGTTGACAACTCATGGCTTCTGGATACTAAAACTAGCAACAAACCTGTTTAAATATATCAGCATACATATAGGCAGATCCATCCATCCATCTACCATTGCATCTATCTACGAACGTAACCATCGTCCCGCCCATTTATCTACCCACACCATTTATCCCACCATCCACTCATGCTATTTTTTCACCGCTTCCTTCCATTCTGGCTGTTACCAGCTTTGCACTTGGGCTCGACTAATACTTTGTATAAAATTCACCCTTACTGTCTCTATTTGATAGCTGACAGTAAGAGAGAAGCACTGTGTTACTAGACTCATGTTTTTACCTCATCTTATATTTGGTCGATCCATCCATCCATCTACCATTCCATTCATCCACTAATACAGTCATCCATCATTCCATCCATTATCTACCCACCCATCTATCCCAGGACACACACACCCATTCACTCCACCATTCACACATGCCGTTTTCCCATCTATCCCTTCATCGCTCCTTTACATTCTGGTTGTTATCAGTTTTACTCTCGGGCTCGACTGATTACTTTGTATAACAAGCATCCCTACTGTCTCTATTTGATAGCTGACAGTAAGAGAAGCATCTTATCACGAGACCCCTGTTTCTACCCGATTCTATATATTAGCAATTCCATTCATCCACCAATATAGCCATCATTTACCCATTCACTCATCTACCCATCCATCTATATCACCACTCACTCGCCCACTCACCTCACCATCCACCCTAGCTATTTTTCCATTGCTCCCTTACATTCTGTATTTTAACCAGTTCTGCGCTCGGTTCGACTGATACTTTGTATACAATCACCCTTACTGTCTCTATTTCATAGCTGACAGTGAGAAGCATCGTGTCTTGAGACTCTGGTTTCTACCCGATTTCATAAATCGGCCGATCCATCCATCTACTATACTTTCCATCCATCCACGAGTATAACCATCCATCATTTCGTCTATTTGTTTACCCGCCCATCTATTGTACTACCCACTCATTCATACACCCTATAATCCACGATCTATCTATCTATCTATCTATCTATCTATCTATCTATCTATCTATCTATCTATCTATCTATCTATCTATCTATCTATCTATCTATCTATCTATCTATCTATCTATCTATCTATCTATCTATCTATCTATC